AGAAAATCCCATTTATGGTATAATTGCATCAAATAGAATAAAATACCTAAGAATAAATTTAACCGTGAAGGTAAAAGACCTATACTCAGAAAATTATGAGATAATGAAGAAAGAAATAAAAGAAGATACAAATAAATGGAAGCATATACCATGCTTATGAACAGAAAAAACTAACATTGTTAAAATGTCCATACTATCCAAAGCAAGCTACTAATTTAATGTAATCACTATCAAAATACCAATGGCATATTTCACTGAACTAGAACAAAAAATCTTAAAATTTATATAGATCCACAAAAGACCCCAAATAGCCAAAGCTATCTTGGGAAAGGAGAACATAGATAGAAGTATCATGCTATCTGATTTCAAATTATACTATAGGTTACAGTAATCAAAACAGCATGATATGGGCACAAAAATAGACACAGAGCAATGCAACAAAATAGAAAGCACAGAAATAAATCCACAGCTATATGGTCAATTAATCTATGACAAAGGAGGCAAGAATATACAATGGGATAAAGGCTGTCCTTCAATAAATGGTGTTGAGAAAACTGGATAGAGGTGCATGCAAAATAATGAAAAAAATTTTCTTACAAGAATAAACCCAAAATGGATTGAAGTCTTAAAAATCCAAGAAGAAAACATAGAAAATAAACTCTTTGACATTAATCTTAGCAATATTTTTTGGGGGGATATGTCTCCTTGGGCAAGGGAAACAACAACAACAACAACAAAATAAACAAATGGAACTACATAAAAATAAAGTTTGTATACAGTAAAAAAAACAAAAACAAAAAAACATCAACAAAACAAAAAGACAAACTACTGGGTGGGAGAAGATATTAGCCAATGATACATCGGATAAGCGGTTAATATCCAAAATTTTTAAGGAACTTATACAACTTCACACCAAAAAAAACCAACAACCACAAAAAAAACAACAACAACAATACAAACAATTCAGTTAAAAAAATGGGCAGAGGGCCGAAACCGGTTTGGCTCAGTGGTAGAGCGTCGGTCTGTGGACTGAAAGGTCCCAGGTTCAATTCTGGTCAGGGTCATGTACATTGATTGCGGGCACATCCCTGGTGGGGTGTGTGCAAGAGGCAGCTGGTCGGTGTTTCTCTCTCATTGACGTTTCTAGCTCTCTATCTCTTTGCCTTCCTCTCTGTAAAAAAAATCAATAAAATATATTTTTTAAAAAATAGGCAGAGGACCTGAATAGACATTTCTCCCAAGAGGACACACAGATGGCCAATACACAAAAGAAAAGGTACTGTCACTAATTATCAAGGAAATGCAAATTGAGACCACAATGAACTATCACCTCACACCTATTAGAAAGGCAATCATCAATAAATCAATAAACAACAAGCATTGGTGAGGATGTGAAGAAAAGGAAACCCTTATGCACTGTTGGTGGGAATGCAGACTGGTGCGGCCACTGTGGAAAACAGTATGGAGGGTCCGTAAAAAATTAAAAATGGAACTTCCTTATGACCCCAATATTTCAACTTCAGGTATATATTCAAAGAAACCCAGAACACTAATTCAAAAGAATATATGCACCCCAATGTTTTATTTATTATTTATAACTAGAGGCCCGGTGCACAACAATTGTGCACAAGAGGAGGGTTGTCCCTCAGCCAGGCCTTCACTCTTTCAGACCAGGAGCCCTCGGGAAATGTCCAACTGATGGAGTGGGCCTAAGCCAGCAGTCGGATATCCTGAGGCAATCAGATATCCTTAGTACTGCTGTGGAGGCAGGAGAGGCTGCGCTCTCCAGCCTTGAGCTGTGCTCTACCTGTGGGAGTGCACTGACCATCAGGGGGCAGCTCCTGTGTTGAGTGTCTGCCCCCTAGTGGTCAGTGAACATCATAGTGACCAGTCATTCCACCTTTTTGCATATTACCCTTTTTTTATATAGGATAGCCAAGATGTGGAAGCAACCTAAGTGTCCATCAAGAGATAAATGGATAAAAAAGATGTGGTACATACATACATGGAATATTACTCAGACATAGGAAGAAATGAAATCCTGCCATTTGAGACAACATGAATGGGCCAAAGGGCATTATGCTAAGTGAAATAAGCCAGACAGCAAAAGACAAATACCACATGATTTAACTTATATGTAGAATCTAAAGAACAACATAAAGAAACAAATAGTACAGAATTAGAAACAGACTACCAGATACAGAGAACAGACTATGTGTGGTGGTAGGTGGGTACTAGACTTATCAGGATGATCATTTTTTAAGGTATATAAATGTCTAATCACTATGTTATATACCTAAAACTATACAATATTGTATGTAAACTGTACTTGGAAAACTAAAATATAAAAAAATATTTGTGGCTAGAAAAGGAATGGCTGGCCTCCCTCCCCCCCCCAAAAAAAAAAGTTATGGCTCAATTTCTTTCTTTCTTTCTTTCTTTCTTTCTTTCTTTCTTTCTTTCTTTCTTTCTTTCTTTCTTTCTTTCTTTCTTTTTTTAAAATTCTCATCTGAGGATATGTTTCTTATTGATTTTTAGAGAGAGGAAGGGAGAGAGAGAAACATCTATGTGAGAGATAATAGTGATCAGTTGTCTCCCATACTTGCACCAACTTGGGATTGAACCCAAAACCTGGCTATATGCCCTGACCAAGAACCAAACCCATAATCTTTTGGTGTATGAGACAATGATCCAACCAACTGAGCCATCTGACCAAGGCATATCCTCAACCTCTTAATTTAAGAATGAGATGGCTGTCTTAAACTAGTGATTTTCAAAGGGAAACCCTCTTAAGTAGCAAAATTGTACCTGTACCTCCAATATACCAAACTGCACCTCCAATATACCAAACTGTACCTTCAATATACCAAACTGAAAGAACTAGAGTGCCTCTGACTGAGAGAGAGGGCAAGGGGCCCAGAACTGTGATGTTATACCTTTCCATGCTCTGCCTCTGTCCCTGGGTGTGTCACTCTGATTCTAGGGTTCCACCAGAGAAAGTTTGAAAACCACTGTATCAAGTAAGCACTAAAGTCTTTGGTGCTTAACTTCAACGAGGAAGATAAATCACTGGTGCTGTCAAAGAAAATTCAGATCTGAGATCCCAAAGTTCAAACAGGATCCACTTCTAGATGACCCATACCATTTGCTTCCATTAATAGCTTGGTGTAGAGCCATTCACTACATTTCAATATATATATTTTCTCAATTATAACTGTTTTTAGGCTCAACAATTTTGAGAAATAATTTGTATTAAGCAAATTTCTGAGAAACCCAAGAATCTGACTTCCATCTTATTCTTTACTTTGGGGAAAATGAGAAGAATGGGGATTAAGAGTAGAGAAAGGAGCTCTGCCCGGTGGGGCTTAGTGGGTTGGGCATTAATCCCATACACCAAAAGGTTTCTGGTTTAATACCTGGTCAAGGTACAATATCCAGGTTGCAGAATTGATCTCCAGTAGGTAGGGGTGTGGAGGAGGCAGTCGATCGATGTCTCTCTCTCATCTCTCTCTCTGTCTCTCTCTCTTTCTCTCTCTCCCTCTCTCTTTCTCTCTCTCTCTCTTTCTCTCTCTCTCATTCTCCCTTTCTTTCTCTCTTAGAAAAAAAAAGAATCAATAAATAAGTAGAGAAAGAAGAGGCACAGCCAGTCCAAACTATAAGAGCAACAGATTTTGATGGGAAGAATCATAGATATTAGGGCCAAAAGATGAAGAAGTGAACAACTTTGGGATTCTGATTGTACAACAATATAGCATCCATTCAGGCATCCAATGTGGGTTGAGCAGTAGTGCTGTGGGGCCCCCTACAAGCGCTTTGTTACTATAACAAAGAGACAGTTTCAATTCCCAGGAAGCACAGAGTGTATGTGGCACAGACCTTAGCTGGGAACTATGTCCTTCACAGCAGTGTGTCAGTGTGGGAAGTAGGTAAGGGGTCCACAGAAGGTCTAATGGGCTTGAATTGAGGCTGGCCGTAAGCTCCGTGAGGACAGGGACATTGCTTTATCTACCCGCTGCTTTAATTCCCAGATCCTAGAAGAGTGGCTGGCAGTGTTTTGAACAAATAAACGAACAATGCATGAATTGTGCTGGTGGAAGGAAATGGGATACCCTACTTAATTGCTTGTAAATGAATCAGCAAGACCCTATTAAAAGAAGTAAGTGGCTTGCCCACTCTGCCCTTGGCCTTGAAAAGTTTGCATTTAAGTGGTAAAGGAAGAGCATGCAGGTGGTTAGGAAGTTAAAAGGGACATATTGCAAGTATAAGTCAATAGGTAGTGTCTCAGGGATAATCCAGAATTCAAATAAGAGTGCTGTTGCTTGTGGGCCCCACCTAGGGTGACTTTGGAGTGAGCCTGGGGCCCTCACATTGTGGATCAACCTCCCCTCATGTGAAGCGTTGTGACAAAGACCCCAAAACACCGTGTGATATTACTTTTGGCTGGGCATAGCTGGGGCCATTGGAGCTAGAAAATGCAGGGGGTTAGGGAGGTGGTAGTGAGAATGGGGGAACAGCACAGTTGTAACTCAGTTTAAATACCCATTTCTCAAGGACATCTTCCTTGACATTGTACACTGTGTTGCTCCTCTAATACTGTCCAACTCACTTATAGCTCTTATTGAAATCATAATGATACAATTATTGGTGTAATCTCTATTTTTTATGTCCCATGGGAGCAGGGACTGTATCTGTTTTGGTCACTTTAGAGTCCCCAGTAACTAGCTTGGTACTGGCCATTTGGGTAAACAGGGAGGTGTAGGGCCTGGATTCTATCTCTGCTACTTATTATCAAATCACATAACCGCTCTGAACTGCAGGCTCCTCCCTGTAATGTAATCCATACTCTCCTTAGGGATACTACAGTGCATGAACTGGTTTGTTCCTGGAGAAGATGGGTCCTGATCAGGTTTTGAAAGAAAAGAGGAACAGGCAGGAGATGGGCAGAGAAGAGAGAAGAGCAAGAGGCCTGCATAGTGCTCCTAGGATGGTCACCAGCTCACCTCCACGCTGCTCAGCCACTGCCGGACCGACAGGAAGGACTGTTTAGCTGTGAGGTCATACATGACGATGACACCATCGGCCTTTCTGAAGAACTGCTGGGTGATACAATGATACCTGCCATCGAAGGGCCACAGGTCAGAGGAGCACAGCCCTCCCTGCAGTCCAGACCTTCGGCCCCACTGGGGGAATGGGGGAGGCAGTGTTATATCAGGGACGGCTCCTCACCTCTCCTGCCCGGCTGTGTCCCACAGCTGCAGGGCCACCTGAGAGTCACCCACACGTACCATCTTCACACGGTAATCAATGCCTGCAAGGTGGATCAGGCCTGTTACTTCCAAATAAGAACATGATGCCCCAATATGTCTGGAATCTTGTCAGGTCAAGGATGACAGCTCCTGTGTAGTTCCTGGGAGGCGATGTGGGGAAATGGAGAAAGCACTGGACAGGGAGGTGTGGGGCCTGATTCTGTCTCTACTACTTATTATCAAATCACATAACTGCTCTGAACTGCAGCCTCCTCCCTGTAATGTAATCCATACCCTCCTTAGGGATGCTACAGGTTCAAATGAGATCACATATGTAAAAGCAATATGCCAGTGCAAAGACTTTGTTATATTCATAAATTTACTCCCTCACTGCAAAGATAGAGGAGAATGAAAGACTGTCTTTAAATTTATTTCTTTCTCTTTCCTTCACCCATTTCTTCCTCTCTCCCTCCCTTCTTCCCTCCCTCTCTCCCTCCCTTCTTTCCTCCTTCCTTCCTCCCTCTCTCCTTTCCTCCCTCTCTCCCTTCCTTCCTTCCTTCCTTCCTTCCTTCCTTCCTTCCTTCCTTCCTTCCTCCCTCCCTCCCTCCCTCCCTCCCTCCCTTCTTCCCTCTCTTCCTCTCTCCCTCTCTCCCTCCCTCCCTCCATGCTTTCCCTCCCTCCCTCCTTTCTCTTCTTCCTAAAATCATTTTCAAAGTTCCCCTAATAAAGTTCAAATATTCCTGGGTATGGATCATACTTTCAGACTTCCATCAGCCACTGCAAATGTATGTGACAGAGCCAGAGGAGGAACAGAAGGAGCAGGAGGAGGGGAAGGGGTGGTAGGTGGAGGGAGGGCTACAAGAGAAGAGGATGGGGGAGGGAATCAAAGGCAGCATTCACCCTTGAGATGGCATCAGAGCTCCTAATCCTAGCCACTGGGCCACTCACAATGGTTTCTTTGATGTTGCAATCCCACTTGAAGTCATGGACCACAGAGAGAGGGAGCAAGCTCAGGTACACACATTCTGAGCCCACAGCAGCCCTCAGAAGTTCCTTGATAAGACATTCCTCTCTCTACATCCTTTAAAAATGTTCACAAATGGTTAATGAGGTTCAAAAAGTATTTCCCTCTTAAGGTATCAAATCTTGGAAACAGAGGGCATCCCCTACCACCTCCAAAAGGGCCGGCTTCTGAGGTCCTCACCCTGGAGGGCTAAGGGAGAGACAGCACTAGCAGCTTGCACTGGAAAAGACAGAAGTGACAAAACAGACAATGAAGAGGCAATCAATGGAAAAGGTCATCCCAGCCACTGTATCCAGGCAGAGGCCAGTGCATTATGGGCCCATGAGTGGAGAAGAGGTGGGAAAGTCATCACCCCTAGAATGACTCCAGAGGCCCTGTGCTTCGCAAATGAGGGCAGAGGGAGCAGTACATTTTCTAGGTAGAGAAAAGAGTGATTTGACCCATTGGTAGAATGCTTGATATTTCTAACTTTCATATGCTATCTCTCCAATTAACAGCACAGTGCTCCCCCTGTGACATCATCTGAGTTATCTGCACACATACTCATGCACATACATACACATGCAAACAGATATGTATATGCATACCACCTCCACCCACCACACCAATAAGAGATTAAAAAAAAAAACAACAAGAATCCAGAGATGGCATGTGTCGTCCAACCTCATTAGTTGCAGTGTGTTGCAAATCCAGCTCTGAGGTTCATTCTTCCTTTTACACCATATCTTGGGCGCAGAGACGCCTGGCAGCTTCATTTCACCTGGAAAGTCCAGGGCTAAGTGCCTCCATCCAAATGGATTACAACTGGTTGGGAGCTGAATCCAGGGTGAGCTTTCTTCTTGGCTAAAAGTGGAAGTGTTTCCCCAGTGTATACTCTAGGAGACTGAAGGGGCTGCCTACTTTCTGGCAACAAGTCAAGAGAATGCTAGCACTGTTAACACACTTTCATGGCCTGACTGAAACCATCCAGCTCAAGCTGGGAAGCCCAAGGACAGAGCCACCTTCTTGGTGGAAAGAAAGGCTTGAAGGCAGGGGGAGCAGCCAGGTCTCAGCTCTTTATGATTATGCTCTACCTCACTGGCTGATTGTTTTGTTGGAGGACAGGATGTTTATCTTGCAAAAAGTGAGGGGGCAAAAGAATGCTGGGGAAAAAAACAAGTTTTGTGCTGTGGTGAGCTAGGTGAGAGTCCCTGCCAGGTACTGTTGCTTTTCTCTGCAGCCTCAGACAGGCAGGCCCAGGAAGTAGATAAGTCCATGGGAGGAAGAGGTAAGCAAAGATAGAGACACAAAGCGTCAAGTCCAACAGAAGAGACAACACAATAACGTGGGACCAGAGGGCCTGAATTACACTGACTTCTAAGACCATCACCAGTTCTAACATCCCAGGAGCCAAGCAACCATGTTGTATTCCTGTCTCAGTCCTGCCTTTGACCAGCTATGTAATCATGATGACATTACTTCATCTCATTTTGAGGGAGTTTTCACTGTTCTCACCTGTAAACTGAGATGTGATGAAGGGTATGGAGGGGTAAGTTGGTGCTCAGGATCTGTTCAGCTGTAGCATTCAATGAACACATGGAAATGATCTACTTGCAACCTAAGTGGTTCCTGAATGACGGCTAGAAATCAGGAGCCATGAATGTGTTGTGTTGTGGGATGGTAATGAGTTAAAGCTGGTTGATGGACTCCAGAAAGGGGACAAGACAGGATCAAGCTGTCATTTAGAGCAAGACAGATGAGGGAATGGGAGTTTCTGCAAGTTGCCATGGAGACAACTAGAAATGTCTTTGTAAAGATGGGGAGTGGGATAGAAACCCAACTGGTGGCCAGAAAAGAGCAGAGTGCATTCTGTTGAGAAAAGCAGGGGCGGTGACTCCAGGCGGGGCTCAGGGGTCCTGGATTCTAGGGAGCTTTAGCCTCTAATAATCATTTTCTCATTTACAAAATGAACTCCAATGTTCTAGAAGACCATTCCTTGACACCCATAGGACCCAAACACCTGTTTGTGAAGGAATCATGTGGTGCTAAAGTGGTGCAGGCAGGTGCTCAAGGCACATTGTTGTAATGTAGAGCTCACATTGTGCACAAGCCAGGAATAGAGTACCAATCGTGTTCCCTTGAGGCAATGGGAAGCCAGAAAGTCCCCTTTGATAAAGGAGGTGAGCTTTAAGAGGCTGCTGAATCCCTGTTTGTACTCTGTTCATGGTTCAGGGGCTGCTGTCCTGGACAGGTTTAGGGTTGGACCACTTTGGCCCTCCAGGGCCAGGACTCTATGGCTCTCCTGTCCTTTTACAGGAACATTTGTCAGGTTGCTTCTGTGACTGTACTGTGCTACTGACAGGTGCACTAGAGCAAGGTCTGCTGTGTAGCTAAGACTAATTTGAGCCACAGTTCCTGCACCTAACTTGTAGGTGTTTCCATAATTGGCCCCCTGGGAAGTGAAAATTAGTTTGCTTTTCTCTTTTTAGAGACTTCCATCTTAGGGACATCAGTTGGAAATGTAAACGGATCCTGATTCCCTGATTTCAACAGGAGAGGCACCTAAATGCTTAGAATCTGTCCTCCTGGCTCTCATGGTTTGTGCTTGAGCCATGGCTTGTGGGGGTCCATCCCACTGATGATCTCCCAGGAATTCAAGTCCACCTCCTCAGCCATTGCTCCCTGTGTCACCATGTCGGTGAGCCTGGCTCACTCCAAGTCATTTTTATACAGGGCAGACAAGGCCAGACTCTTCTGGGATGAGTTCACAGCTCTGCTTTTCTCCCCTTCAGGGTCCCAATTCTTCATCTTAAGGAGTTCTCAGTTTTTGGGTGAAATGGAGTAGAAGGGAGGGACAGGAGGATATTCCAGATATAAAAACACCACAGGAACAGGCCCAGCAGTAATAATGGCACCCTGAAGTATGTGAGAGGAGACCCATCTGCAGAGGAAAGTTGGAAGAAAGGCCAATTCAGGATGAGAGGAAGAACATGGAGTCTCCCCAGACAGGACTCTGGGACAGAAAAGTTCGTCTTGTGGTGCCAGCTGTCAGACACCCAAAGGTAAAAGATGGCCTGGAAGCAGTGTCATGTGACCCAGTTCATTTCCCTCATTTTTCAGATGAGAAAAACTGAAGCCAAAGAGGAAACATGTTCCCCTGGAGTGATTTGTGGCAGAGCAGAGACAAGAGCCAGGACTTCTAATGCCCCACTGAACCTCAGTAGCCTCCCCTGCTTGCACCAATCTGTCTACTTCCCATGGTAGGGAAGTGTCTTCGAAACCCATGGGGTGCTGAGCACACACACCTAATGTTACTAGGGACACTGTGGAATTAAACAGAAGGGGTGTGGGGGCAGAGGGTAGGTCAGAATCTGCATCAACCAGCTGATGGGATTGTGGACAAGCCTCCTTCTCTGGGCCTCAGTTTCCTGATTTGTCCATTGGGCTGATAACAACACTTGCCTCCCAAGGTTGTATGAAGGTAGAGTGAAATGATGAATATGAAAGCCCAGGGTAAATATTCAGATATATCCATAGATTTTCAAATATAGTTGATTTATCAGTGTGGTTGAATTCTATACAGTAGGCACTCAGTGGACTTATTTTTTGTTTGGGTGATTCAACTTGCTAAAAGCTGAAATGTCAATATGCCTGTGGTCTCACCACATATTCCAATGCAATGAGCAACTTTGGGGAAGGGAGAAAGTCCTCCACCTAAATAAAATATTACACAGGAGTGGGAGCACATTAAGCCTTGATTATCCACTAATAGTTGCGCCTAACAGGCTTCTCCAATGAACTACAGCTGTCACCCAGCAAGGCCCAGGAGGCAGGATGGGTAACATCTCATCTTCTGAGTAAAGCGCTCTGCCCTTCCTCCCTCCTATTATCTCTCTCTCTCTCTCTCTCTCTCTCTCTCTCTCTCTCTCTCTCTCTCTCTCACACACACACACACACACACACACACACACACACACACACACACTGAGAGGGGCAGGTCATGGAAGCAGCTGGCTCATGGGGGGGGGGTGTTGTAGTGGCAGGGGCGGGGGAGGGGGGAAAGGGAGTAAGCCCCAGCAGGAACATGAAAATTCAGATTCCCTGCTGAAAGTGGAAAGAAACAAAGAGAGAGAGATAGGCTCAGAGGAAGTAAAAGGGCCGAAGTCCATCTTTGGCAACTTCAGTTCTACTCAGGCTGGACATGGGAAGCTTTTGGTGGTCTTGTCCCACTGGAAGTGAACTTAGCAGCTAGTCATCTGCAGGAACTGACTGCATTTGTCCCTCAGTCTCACTGTGGAGCAGGCAGACCAGGGCTCCCCTCCCTGAGGGCCCACAGCTGCTCCCACTGAGCACCAAGTTCCTCCCTGGGCCCCCTTCTCACAACTTCTCTTTCCCAGAGGTGGCGGGACCCAGTTTAGGGGCAAGAACTTACCCACAGTGGCTGTCATGCCTGGGGAGAACCGGTCATCACAGAACCTTCTCAGGAAGGATGTCTTCCCTACAGCAGAGTTGCCCACAAACACAATCTTGAAGAGCCGGTCTGGGGTGGAGAGGGAGCCTTCCTCCTGTGGACAGCAGACAGTCTGGGTTCTAGCCCTGCTCCTGCCACCACCTGCCCTTCTCTCATTCCTATGGTGTGTAGGGGACAGTGAGGACCTGGCCTCCCCACTGGAGACCGCCCAGGTACAGATGCAGGTAGCTTTGGGCTCAGGGCATCAGCAAGGGGAAAAGGGACACTCATTCAACCAGCACTGTTGTCTGCCTACTATGATTCAGGGATGAGGAGGCTTGCTTTGTGGTGGAAAGAAGGGGACAGGCGTGTAAATGGATAACCTCAGCACAATGTTCCAATGCTCGAGGAGCAGGGAAAAGAGCCAGGACCCACCCAGCAGAAGCCCTGAGCTGGGCTTAAAGCAGAGGCAGGGGTGGTGAAAGGGGAAATAAGGAGATAGAAAGGGAGGAGGGCAGATAGAAAAAAAGACATCTTTGTTACAGGGCCAGAGACAGCCCAGGCTGGGGTAGAGCTCTTGCTTCTGCCCTTTCATTGAAAGCCTGGATGGGCATACTCTTGCCTCCCTGCCCTTTGCTCTTCTGTCCCATCTCATCAGCTTCCATCCAGGATCCCCATTTGCCCTGGGAACAAAAGCAAGATAGTCTCCTCCTCCTAGACTGGGAAATCCTAACAGCAGGCCACTGGCAGGGTGTTCAAATCCCCCAACACTGCTGCTCCTCCTGCCCTGCCCGTCAGTAGGAGGGCTGGGACTGAGTCCACCACCCATTCGTCTGGGATGCTGAAGCCCAAGGGGAATGGACTTGCTTACGTATTTTCCGGTGTATAAGACGACCTTTGAAACAAAAAAAAAGTCAACCAAAAATTGGCCAGAGTCAGAGAGGCGGTCTATTAAAAAAAGAACTGGTGTTGCCTCGGAAGTGGGGGGGGGGGGGGTGGTGGTGTAGTCTTATACAGTGAATATAGGCCTAAACCTATGTTTTAATTGTAAAATTAGGGGGTTGTCTTATACGCCCAGTCATCCTATACGCTGGAGAATATGGTAGGCACTGAGGGAATGAGAGGCAGAGTAAGGACCTGCTGCCCGCCCAGGGCCATTGCTCTCCATGGAGCCCTCATTCCTTTGGGAGAGCTGTTCGCTCATTCCCCCCAAATCTGTCTTCAAACCCAGCCCAGCACTGCTGGCCTAGGTGAGAAAACTCTTTGAAATCAATTTAGAAGTGGATTTGGGGGAATTAGCTCCTCTCATAAAGCAAATACTATAATGGAGTGGCAACAGATCTTAGCAGTACTTGAGTATCAGAGAAAAGCTACTAACAGCTTTTAGGGGAGAAATCAATTCCATGCAGCACTTAAGTGGGAAGTCAAGGTCAATTTCAGGAATTTAAACTTAAAGAAAAAAATGTTCCACACTCAAAAACTATGCCTCCTGCCCCATTTTTTTTACTCTTGCAATGCCAAGGGTGTGGACTCTCTGCCAGTGTCTGCTCAGCCCCTGTCTCCCTGTAATTTTTTTGAGACGAAAGCTCAGAGCAGCATCTGTCCTCAGGCCCAGGTGTGGGGGAGGCATGAGAAGCCCAGGGCAGGGGGAGCAGGTCCCAGCTGCAGGGGCTGTGCCTGACATTAGCCCTATGCCCACCCCCACCATGGGACAGAACACTATTGTTTTTCAGGCCAAAGAAATAAACACATTTATTGATGGTTCATCAGCGGCAGGACACACCTCCTAGGTGCAGCAAACTCCTACTCTGTGTTCACGCACTTAACTGTGTTCCTTATGGGGCTAATTCTAAGTGAGCCATCCGGATTGGGGGAAGAGAATCTCCTTCCCACCACTTTAAAAATAAAACTAATATGTGCATTTTTTTAATTTTATGTTTTTTAGAACTAGGAAAAAGAGAAAAGTAGGGAGGAAAATAATAATTATAATCTACCCTACTTCCCTGCAATGGTCACTACTCATGTTCAAATGCATTTCTTTCAGGCTTTTTTTCTATACAGATGAATGAATATATGTTTTATAGAGTGACTTGAGAAATTATAATTTTATTATTTTCTTATATTACTAAATTATAAAAATTTCTCTGGTTCACTATTTTTTTAAATGTCTTAAAATATATTTTATTGATTTTTTTTTTTACAGAGAGGAAGGGAGAAGAAGAGAGAATTAGAAACATTGAAGAGAGAGAAACATTGATCAGCTGCTTCTTGCACACTCCCTACTGGGGATGTGCCCACAACAAAGGTACATGCTCTTGACTGGAATTGAACCTATGACTCTTGAGTCTACAGGCCCGACGCTCTATTCACTGAGCCAAACAGGTTGGGGCTAAATGTTATTTTTAACAGCAGTGTAATATTCTACTGAATTAATATGCTATAGTTTATGTCCTATTAGATTTCCAATTATTTGCTATTATACATTTATATTCTTGCATTAAGTCTTTTTCTGACTTTGGTTATTTCCTGAGAAAAGATTGCTAGAAGGAGAAGTGCTGGTTCAAAGAATGTGGTATTTGTAAGTTCATGATTTCTGATATCAATCTACTGTCCCGAAAGGTTGCATAGTTTCTGGCTCAGCAGCCTGGCTCTTAGGGCTTGCCTCATGCAACCTTCCTCAAGAGCAGAGCCTCTGCTGAGGCTGTTGTGGCTGCTGGTGAATCGCATTTCCTCATTGCTGCAGTTTCTGTCCCCAGCTGGAAGGCATCCAACCTGGTGGAGCCTCAATGTGTGAGAGCAGAGGGAGAAGGCTGGGCCAGGCTGCACCCCTTTGGACTTGACTTCCCACTCTGCCAGAAGAAGAATACATCTTCGAAGTCTCATCAGATGATTGCAAGGATCAAATGCCATAGCAGACACAATGCTTGGTCTACTGCTGGCCTCTTGATATTTCTTTCACATTTGTGGGGAAAGCATGGGGTACTGAAAACCCCATTTGTGCCCAATGTCTACATGAATAGTGCTGACAGGGTTGTGGAAGGACAGGTAGGTGAAGGGGTTCCACCCCCCAGTGGGGGCCACCAGTTCTCCACCCTCCCTGGGGCCTAGGCCTCCACTATTCCACCCTTCAGAGGAGTGACACATAGGAATGAATCTTAGTCCAGACCCAAGGGTGATAACTGATACCATATGTCCCCGTACAGTGGCCAGGGAAGTGTTCTGGTCACACATGCTAATACAACCATGGAAATGCAAGGGCTCAATTCTAAAGGGCTGTCCTGGTGTGCAGGGAGGAGCCTCTTTCACCATGCTGGGATCATTTCTAAAGCTGCTTTGGAGGGTCAAGTGGAAGGCTCAGGGCTCAAGGAGCCTATTCCTAGGCTTAGGTCACAAACAAGGTGTGGAACATCGTCACTATGAGCCAGAGGAAAGTGCTTCATATGGCCTCATTCTCCCCACAGTTTAGAGGAAGACTTGGTGGGACATAGATTTGGAGCCTTTCGCTGAATCAGAAAAGAGCATAGGGTAGGGAGTAGGGCAAACATCAGAGTTTATAAGGAGAATTTGCTAAGACCCCTGAGTCTTGCCCAAGACACTCAGCTAAGCAGGGAAAGGTAGTATTTGAAGGACACAAATATAATGAATTGTGAGACCAGTCACATCTGATTTCTTAAGCTGCCTTTGGGGCATGGCATAGTAGTGACCCCTAAAACCAAGGTGCGATGTTCCCTTACCTTAGACAGAGCTTCTTTCCCAACAGGCTGCCCTCGGGGAGATGTGGGTGTGAGTTCCAGCTGAGAAGGTTGGAACTGCTGGCTTTGTCCCTCCACCTTCTGGTCAGAGACCTCCTCCTCTTCTGGGCATTTGCTCAGTGGCCGCTCAAAGCTGCCATCAAGGAGCTGGGGCAGGGGGTCTTCTTCAATGGAGATGATTCTGCGGAGTGCCCGGGGAAGTGGACCCTCAGCCCCTGGCTCCCTGGCTCCTGGCTCCTCTTCTGTAAGGGGATACGCATTCAGGCCCAGGGAGCTTCTCCTCCTCATCATGCCAAACACATCTTCCTCCTCCTCTGACTGGCTGTTTTGGGGTGGAGAAGAAAGAAGAGGGGGGAGCAAATGGTAAAATGTATCAATATGGAAGCTTTTCTGACAGATGTCAAAAGAGCACCACAGCTCAGGGGCACAGAGCCCTGGGAAAGGGAAAACCAGACCCAGCATTGTTTAGTTCATTCACTCAAGACACTTATACAAGTGCCTGATGGGGAAGGTGATGAAGGTGATGATGAAGGTGATGATGGTGATGGCAGTGAAGGTAATAATGATGATCTACCAGGTATTAAGCTAATGTCACAGTAATGAACAAATGGACACATCCCCTGTCCTTGAAGAATGATCAGCTTAGTGGAGGGGCTAAAGCAATAATGACACAACTAAACACATTTTTACAAGTTGCGAGAAATGCTGATAGAGAAGAAAACAGTGTGAAGAAAGGAGCATAACTAAAGCATCCTGAGTTAACAATCAAATAGCCTCCACTCTGATCCCAAGGCCAGCTCTAACTAACTGTCTGTCCCCACTAGTCAGATGTCTCCTGGCTCAGAGGCAGCTGCCCACTAGAGAATGGACTTTGGGTCGAAGGAAGCCAGGGTTTCTTGACCTGCCTCTTCTTCCTTTCCCTTTCTCTTTCAGTGACCCTGCAAGTCAGTCAGGAGGAAGTGGCCTCAGAGTCTGTTTGCTCATCACTGTATTTATACCCAGCACACAGCTACTTATTTTGCACATAGCAGGCACTCGATAATAGACAATAATGGCAGGACTCATGTCTAATTTATCTTTGGAATCTTCACAGAACTCAAAAGACTGTCTACTATAGAGGAGGGAATTTGTAAAAGCTTATTGACGGAATCAATCAATGAATAGATTAGTTTCTGTGGAACCAACAGGCCAATTATTATTGCACAAACTTAGCTCCAAAATTGTATCTCACTGTTCAGATACTTAGAAATTCACAATGATCAGGTCCAGAGACATGACTCATCAGCTGACTGACAGCCCAGAGCCACCTCCCTTTGCCCACCTGGTATTGCATGCTTGCTGTCCTCAGTGTCTCCTAGATGAGCAAGTTCACACACTTTCTCCCCAGATCTAATATTAAGGGATCCAGCTGCCTCTACCTCTCTCTGGCCATTAATGTGGATGGAGCACATGCCAACAACAACAAGAAGAAGGGATTGGCTGGTTTCTGAATAAACAACAAACACCTCTTTGGGGATGCAATTATGTGTTATCCAATGGGAACTAAATATGTCATCTTTGAGTTAATTAAATATGAATCGTTGAAAGGAATCAGTCAAGCACAGGACGTATTCTTGTCTGTAAAGGAGTTCAACTATTAGAGATTCCATAGGACACTTTAATTGCCCTTCAGAGCCCAAATAGCCATGTGCCTGAAAAGCCAGTGTATCCATTCTGCTCAACTGACAACTGGGCATTGTCAGGCCACACCCTCCCTCTCTGTCCCTGATCTCTCTTGTTCTCTCTCCTCTGCTGATCTATAGCACTGATTCAGTCCCTCTCTGCAGGCACACACTGGGCAGGATGGGAGAGACAGAAAAGACAATGGCCTGTCCTAGGGGCTTGCTCTGCACTAGTTCCTCCTTGGATGTCAGAACAGGAAGGGACATGCCCTCCAAGATTCAAGGGGAGTGAGCACACCTGACCCCAGGCTTCTCCCCCAGTGTCACTTCTCGAGGGTTAGCATGCACTCAGCACAGCACAGGCTCCCCAGGAGTACAACACCAAAGATCAGATAACGAGTGAACAAATAGAGGACAACTTACCTTCTAAGAATCCCTCTGCCGTCCATATATTTGCCTATCACAGAGCCAGATCTCTGTTTCCAGCTTGCCTTGGGAGCAGCTGTGTTTGCTTTGGCTGCCTTATCTTTCTGCAGAAACACAAAAGGCCCTCAGATCCATGCCTGTCAGTTTGTCCCAATGTTTGAGCAGAAAGGGCTCAACTTTCCCACCTCATAGGTCAGGCTTTAGACAAAACTCTGAATAAGCCAGTGATATTCTGGTCCCCCTGCTGGCATTTTTCACCAGAATCCCTCCACTTCCTGTTTAATAACCTAATCAAATGAGCCAACACACAGTTTAGAGCCTGGGGTCCATGATATTGCCCTTCACAGGACTATTGATCATTTGCAAGAGCACAACTAAGAGGAGCTAAATATGGAAAGCATAGGAAGACTGTTTATGGACAGAAAAGACTCTGCCTCTTTAAATCATACTCTCCATGTGGCTCCAGTTCCAGGCATTCCCAAAGTCTCATACATAATAAAGAGAACAGCCCAAAAGATCCATCCACCCAGCCCCTATTCATAGCTACTAAGCGAGCATAGGGTATTTCAAACCTTTTATGGGAGGGGGCTGGATGTAAATAAATGGCTCACACATCTGTAATGAAGAGCATGATTGGGGTGGGGGCTTGCAACCTCTTTGCCAATGCTCTCCAACAGTCCCTAAAGGAATCTCACATTAACCAGCCATCCCCATGATTCCTGATGATCCTTAAGTGGGGGGAGGGAGGAGTGGCAGGACTCCCAGGGCCTCTGCAAATATGACTATAATGATTTCAAATTAATATTTAATTATTACCCAGAATTAATTTTATCCCTCTTTCTTAAGCCAATTCCCTTTTAAAATATATATATATTTTATTGATTTTTTTTTAAAGCCAATTCCCTTTTCAAAGCAAAATGAGTTTGGCAGGTGAGGGAAAGCAAGGTAAAGGGATTAGGATGACATTTGGTTGGAAGTTTTAAAATAAATGCAGAGTTACTTCTAAAATAATAACCATTATCATCATCAAACACACGTGTAGTGTGTTTGCTCTGGTAGTACTCAGGTGGTGCAGAGGTGTTTGCTGCCAGACAGTGATAGAAAATAAATGGTGGAACAAGGTCCCCCCAGGATTCACAATTATAAACCCGGCGCACTTCATTCAGGGCAAACTAGCTGTCCCTTGCTGCCTGCATTTAGACCACTGTTCAGCCAAGTGTCCAGTGCAAGACCTCCTCTTTCCAAAAGTTTTTCTCAAAAATATCTACAATTCGGGGGTGGGGGGATAAAGAATAGAGATTCCCTTTCCTGATGAGGTAGGCAGGGCCATGGTCCAAGGAGGCAAAAAACTTGCCCAAGGAAGTACACACATGAACTTCATGGTGTGATCATTCTAATAATTAAAAACCCACATCAATCAGTCCTGCCACCATTTTTCTTCCCTTGAGAGCATCTAACAGCTGCTGTCTAAGAGGGAAGAGAGTAGGGGAATGTGGGATCCTAGATTTTGTTTAATGCAGCCCAAAGGGAAAATTTTAAATAAATATAGAATTTTGAGTTACTTGGGAAAATGTGTAAGCATTGTGCTCAGGTCTGGAGAAGCAGGAGTCCCCATAGGGTGAAAACATTGCTCATAAAATCTACTATGTGAATTGTAAAGTATACATATTTTGAATGATAATGCAAAATTTTCACCAAGAGATAAAAATTTTAATGAAGAAAAACGCTGTAAGCATTGTGGTGTAAAGTGATATGACATTTCAACTACATCATCTCAGGGACAGAACTAGCATTTCTGCATCAAAGAAACGCATGACCCTCCCCATTACTTGCCTTGTTATGCCAAGAGGGAAGTGTGTGACTTCATGGGAAATTAGCACACTGTTACCCAAGAGGTCCCCTGCTTTTTTATTATTTTCTAAAAAGCATATGCCATGGTCCTGCCACATAGAAAGGAGCAAGCAGACCCCAAACCTTAGGACACTGCCGGTCAGTCCTGGCTCAGGCGCTGGCTGCCACTGGACCACAGTCTTTGTCTTTCCCCAGAGGAGGGGGCACCGCGCACTTACCTGAAAACATATGTCCCTTTCATCCTGGAGATGCTTGTTCCTTTCCCTGTGATGGAAAAGGGAATCTATTCAAACAGGGAGTTTGTGGTCCACTGAGCCAATAACAGCATTGCCAGCGGGTGGTATAGAGGAAGGCAAAGTGTGGAAGGCCCTTTCCTTAGGGGTGTGGTTAATGGCAGAGGGAAATTTGTGTAAATCAACTCAGAGGAAGGGATAGACAGAATGGTACCCATGCCCTTCAGATCACTGGTCTATGCCATCACCAGGGAGCCTCCCCCAGAGAGTGCCCAGGAGTTCCCGCTGAGCCTGTGAGTCGCTCTGGGGCCTGTGTGCCCTCTATGAGCCATTCATTCATGCCTGCATCCTCTCAGCAAGAGTCTCCTGGACACCCACTATGTGCCAGGCATGTTCTATCTATGAAGGTTACACCAATGAACAAAACAAGAAGTTCCTGCCCTCAGAGAATGTGTATTCTAGTGCTGGTATAATTGCTGCTGAGAAAAAGCAGGAAAGTGGAATAAAGTGTGCCAGGGGGTAGAGTAGTGTTTTAATAGGGTGGTAACAGGGGGGCTTGCCGAGAAGGCAGCATCTGAGCAGATATTCAGAGGAGGAGTGAGGAGCACTGTGGGTATTTGAGGCAAGAGCATGGCACACAGGGGGCTCAGCAAGTATGACTATAATGATTCCAAATTAATCTTTAATTATTACCCAGAATTAACAAAATTTTATTGGTTGGAAGTTTTCCCATCCCCCTTTCAAAGCTAAATGAGTTTGGCAGGTGGGGAAAAGCAAGGTCAAGGGATTAGGATGACATTTGGTTGGAAGTTTTAAAATAAATGCAGAGTTACCTCTAAAATAATAACCATTATCATCATCAATTTGTCCGGGGCACAGCCTGGGCTGGGGGAGGCCTGTTGTGCATGAGGAACAGAATGAAGTGCAGCAGCATGCTCAGAGGGAGAGCATTAGAAGACAAGGTCAGAGAAAAGATAGAGGAGGAGGGTGACTTGCCATTCATGGCCTATGGGAACTTTGATTTTTCCTCCAATTGGGAGATGGAGCTGTGCGGGAGGGGGGGTGAGTGTCCTGATCTGACCAGGTTTTCAAAGGAGCCCTATACGCACTGCGCTGTGCCAAAACAGACTGTTGGGTTGAGGATGGGGCCCTGAGAATTGGTCAGTATTTTAATTAGCATGTTGGTTGGTCATTAGTTCCACTTTCAGTGAAATAGTGATAGAAAAAGCCTGACTAGAGGGTGAAAATATGAGGGAAAGAAACGGAGACAGTGAATATAAAGGGCAAGCAATTCTTTTTAAAGTTTTGTTGAAAGTGATTAAAGAAATGGAAAGTAGCTAGATGTGGAGGGGAGGAAAAGATACTATATAAGAAATACTATCGTGTTTTCCCCAAAATAAAACATCCTCCAAAAATAAGACCTACTTACAGGTTTCCTTCTGAGTGAAATATAAGGCATCCCCCTGAAAATAAGGCCCCCCCTAGGCTCTGTCGAGGGAGCCAAAGAGGTCTGCTAGTCTGAGATGCAGCCAGCACTCACGGCGCTGAAGACATGAAGACATTTCTTCACGAAAGAAAAATAGATCAGATAATGATTCCCGCAGGAATGACGGCCTATCTCCAGACTCTTGATGTTGCAGTAAACAAGCCATTCAAAGTCAATCTGCACATGGAAATTAATGACTACTTTGAAAATAGAATGGAGAGAAATCAGCGTGGAAACTTTGTGAAACCTAAACTGCAAGAAGTTGTGACTTGGGTGAAGAATTCATGGGAGAAAATCACTGACAGTTGCATTGCAAATGTACTGTGAGCAGGTTACCTTGACAAGAAGTACTCATTTAAAGACAGTGCTATTGCTAAACATGAGAGATTTGGTTCACTGATTCTGAAAGAAATGGAGTCACAAGAAATTCACCAGGAAATTCAGGAATTGGATTGTTATGATAATGTTTCAGAAGATGATGACATGATTGTCATTGAATAAATGAGTAAATTCTTGATACTGTAGAATTCAGTTTGTCTGGTTTGTGTTGACAACTACTGTACTACCGTAGCGTATACAGGTAATAAATTTCCTTTATTTTCATTTAACAATAAATGTGTACAGTATTCTTCTTCATGGAAAAATAAGACATCCCCTGAAAATAAGACCTAGTGCATCTTTGGGAGCAAAAATTAATATAAGACACTGTCTTATTTTCGGGGAAACAGGGTATAATACATTTAGATCTCTCCAAAGGGAGGATACAGCCATGGTCTGACTGTTGTCCTTTTAATGTGGCCATTTACTGGGTCCAGACCGTGGGCAGGCACTCCGCTAAGTGAGCTGCAGGTGGCAGGTGCAGTCTGAGACAGGCCAGAGGACAGACCCCAGTTCCCGGGGCTGTTCTGAAGCAGCCGTGCATCTGGTGAGCAGGCAGGCACACAGCCAGGGCCTGCAGAGTGAGTGGGAGGGATGAGGAAGGTTCTTGTAAACCCTGAGGATGGCCAAGGGAGCTTCTCATGCCTGAATGACCCTCCCTCTGTGCAGGAATGAATGTTGAGGAGAGGAAGTGTCTGGGTGAGGACTTGGGGAGCCCTGGAAGCCAGGGCTTTCTCAGGGCTTTGCTGTTGTTTCATGCTTTGTGCAGTTACCACCATGCAGAAGCTTCAGTACTTAAAGACACGCTAGGCTCTTTACATGTGTCCACTTTCATTTGCATCACTCCCTATTGGGATTGCTACCCACATCTATCAGCTGAGTCTCAAAAGAAGCCTGAGAGGTGGGCAGGAGATGAAGACTCCCACTGGGTTAAGTCAATGGTACAAGGGCACACACAGTAATGAGGGGCAGTGCTGAGACTGGAACCAGAGGCAACGCTCCTGAAACGGCTTCCTTTTGCTCCATTTCCCTTAGGAGGACCAGTCACATCCCGTCACATCCTGGTCACATCCCGGCCATTGTCCTGTTTTCACCACCACCACTCCTCCACGTTCCCACTATTCTCCCCACCCCTCTCCCATCTTCCTCTCCTCAACTTGTGTATCCCCATTGCTCTGGGTCACTAGCTGATGATTTCAGTGTGGAAGAGAAACCTGCTGGGGGCTTCCCCTCCACATCTGGGCTCTCACCAGCTGGCAGAGGCTGAGCTTGGTAACCAGGTAGTAGCTCCAGCCACGTGATTCTGCACAATTGCTATTCTCCTTTAAAAGGACCCATAAGCATTTGCAGAGTGCTGCCTTGTCACTCCCCTCTGCTCATTCATGTTGGATCTGCCCTTTTCTTATTCCCACATATAATAGAAAGAAGGAGGAAAACACAAAAACTCGGCCTTGAACATCTTGTTCTCTTCCTTTCACGAACACCTTCCTAAGAATCAACATCTTCTCTTAAATGGAAGAGAACTTGGCCTTTGGGGCCTGTTGGAACCAGGCATTGAGCGCAGTAAATTTGAAGGGCATTCAATTTGAAGCACTTTTCAATTTAGTAGCATCATGGATGTCAGTCACAGTGACCTTACCTTGCTTTCAAACAAAAAAACTGAACAAAAGCTTCATCATTTACCTGATTTAAACGCATTTGCCCTTTACAAATCAGAACCGAGAGTCCTTCTGCTTGGTCACCATTCCCCGGGAGGTGTTTGGTAGGCAGCAGGCACTTAGAAACCTCAGAGGCGGAACTCAAAATGCCAGCCTACCCACACAGGTTTGGAGGGGTTTTGTTTGATTTGGGTTTTTGGCACATTCTATACCAATGAGCTTTAAAGTTACAGTGAGTTTTAGCAGGCTAAGGAAACTCCATTCTTGGTGCTGTTTTGACTCATTTTCAGGCAGACCCTGAGATTGCTGTTCATGGCAATAAAGTGAATATTGTTATAGAGCAAGTCATGAATTTTCTGGTTTCCTAGTATATATAACTATCATTTTATTCTAAATTGTAGTCTATTAAGTGTGCAATAGCATTATGTCTAAAAATGTACAAATCTTAATTAAAAATACTTTATTGCTAAAGAAAATGCAACACATCATTTGAGCCTTGTGGAAGTATGACACCAATAGACTTGCCCAGTGCACCATGGCCCCAAACATGCATTTTGTAAAAAACCACAATATCTGCAAAGCATAACATAAGACAGAAAAACGAGGTTTACCTGAACCTATTCAACAAGCATGAATGGAATACAGAAGGATAAAGAGAATCAACCCCATGTGGATCTCAATTCTGGCTCCACCAGTGAGCAGCTGTGTTCCTTTTGGTAAATTATCTCATTTCTCTAATATCAACTTAGTTAATTCCTGTATTAACAACTGCCCTACTTACTTTCCTAAGTTTTGTTGAAGGTGAGAGAGGTAGCATGGCTGGCACAGTGTAGCTGTTCAATAAATTCAGGTCCCCTCCTACTAGACAAGGGCCATGCAGGGTGCTGTGAGAGACACTGAGAATGGGTATAAAGTGGAGAGGGAAGTGGACATGTGTAGATGGACCAAACATAATGGAGAGGATGGTACTTGGTGCCTGAACAAAATGTCAAGGACAGGGAAATGAGGGCGCTCTCTCAGTGGCTATATTTTCCAGCATGTAGGCAGGGAGAACTCACCCGGCCCCCATCTGGGGCATCTGGGATACGCTCTCAGAACACACACAGTGCTGACCCACCTCAGGAAATCCAGCTGCTTCAGGAGCCCCAACTTCTCCCGCTGCAGACTCTCCGTCACGCGGTACACTTCCCTGAGGAGGAGGCAAACAGCAGTGGTGAATGATTGTTCAGCTGCGGGGGAGGAGGCCTGAGAGGGGGAGCTATGGGGTATGAGGCACCTAGGAGCCCTCACACTGGAACCAGCAGGCAGTGCTCTCACTGGGAACTGAGGGGTTTCAAAGAACATGACCTTCCTTGGAGACCACCTGTCACGTGCAAGTGCTCACAGCCATGACCTCAGTTAGTCATCACAGACACCGTATTTCACAGACACAGGCAGAACTTTGATAATTCAGCTCACACTAACAATCCAGGGTCCTCATTAAAGCCTCCTGGCCCCATAGATGCTCATTCCACAGCCACTCACATGTCATCTGTGAGCACGACTCTATGATAGAGAACCACTGTTTTCCCAGACTTCATGTGGTCTTTCCCACAGGTTCAGGGGATTAGAATCAATATTGTTCTCCAGCCCAGTCTTTGAGGGCGAGAGCAGAACTGCTATTCTTTTTCCCTTGGGTGCTAGTTAGGTTTGTTTCCAGGAGCTCTCAAAGAATCATTTTCTTGCTTCACCTCCTCCCAAAGGCTCCAATCTGTTTTCAGATATCTGGGATTTCCACCGTTGATCACTCATTTCTTTGACTTAGATTTCTTATTTATAGCTATAAAGCAGAGATTTAATGCATCAATTACAATCAGCTATTTACATCACAGTGTGAACATGGTGGCCATATCAGGAGTTGTGAGGAAGGGAGAAAGAATCTGAAAGTTGCATGGTGGCTGGAGGGCAAGGTAGTAAGGCAGGGTCCTGTCAAGTTTGCTTATATATGAAAGCTCCCTGCAGGGCCCTGCATGCAGGCAGACTAAACAAGAAGCAGCAGGAAGGAATGAGAGAGAGAAGGAAAGAGTGGAAAGGGAAAAAGGAAGGCAGGGCTAGAGGGATGAAGATGGAAGGAAGGGAGGAAGGTAGGAAGGAAGGAAAGATAAGGGTGAGTTGGGGAAGTACTCAACAACACTCAGGGAAGAAAGGAAAAAAGGCAGAACTGGAAACACTGGGAAATAAACCATGGTTGACTTCGTAACTTCACCTCCATCTTTTCCTCTGTGCTCTGCACCATGTTTTATGTAAAGGACCCAAAGTTCCACCTCTCCAAACCACAGCATGGCATTTAGTGAAGGGAGCATCTTACAGCCTGATAATATCATCAACTTGTATATGCTGTCATAGCATCTGTATTGTGCATAATCTACGCTGGGCAAGGACAATGACCTTTGGCCACCCATCCATGTCATTGAGCTGGGAAAACAGAATCAGTTTGCTGGGTCCATAATACTCGGCCAAGCTCACAATGATCTGGTTCCTGAAAAGGTATCTGTGATGGCTTATCCTCCTTTATAGGATAATAATTATAAAGTCAATTTACAATAATAACAGACTGAATTAAATTCTAAGTTCACTTCATAATCCTAATTAAGCAACAAAACTTCTCTGGCTCCTGCAGAGCTGCAAATTCCTAACATTTTATTACTAATTATATTTAATTTCAACTCTGGGGAAAAATAACATATTTACCATTACTCTGAACCAGGTTCCCAAACCTCTCTCTAGAATTCTGCTCAGTTAGAGCTTCCTCCTAGCTGCCTCTGTGCCCCAGGAGCCAAGTTTGCCTGGGTGCTTCATGTGACTCCAGCTGGTCCTGCTTCTCTCTGGGTGCAGAGAGAGCAGACAGCTTGCCCCTGCTATGGAAAACCACTCATTGCAGATCTCAGGTCTGGGTTCTCCCAGGGGGGTTGACTAAGGAGCCAATTCCTAAATAAGAAGGTGTTTCAGATTTCTCTAGCCTTGTTCTCACAGAACCAGATGAACATTGGAGCTATGCCCACACACACATATACACACATCCTATATAATAATAGAGGAATATGCAAATTATCCAGGACACTATATGTCACGACTGCTCAGCAGGTGGCATGCACAGCAGGCGCAGATGGACAGAGCCTTGCAGCATTGGGGATGGGGGCAGGGCCATGGCGGGGTTTAGGCAGGTGCCAGCAGAAGTAGGCCTAGACTGTGGGCTCGCCCCCAAGGGTCCACAGGCCTCGGCCATGGCCCAGCCTGGGGTCCACAGATCACCCCTGGCTCTGGCCTACTTATTTGGGATAATCCATCGAGGAACCCTGGATGGGTAGGAGGGGCTTATCTTTTGGGGGCAATGAATCATGGGGCTCCCACACTGTAACAGGCACAGGCCAGGCTGTGCCTGTTACAGTGTGGGAGCCCCCCCCCCCCCAAGTACATAAATTTTGTGCACATATCCATGCAAACACATCTGTTCATTTGTCTAGTAAACATACATCCAATTGGATACCTATTCTATCTAATAAAAGAGTAATATGTAGAACTTCCAGAATTTTCAGTGGGGAAGCAATGGCAGGCCACTGTTGCGCACCTCCTCCGCTCTCTGGCCACTGCTGGTGTCCCTACTGCCCACACTGTTCCCTCCAGGAGAAGCACATCGTGGAAAAACATGGACACCACAGAACTAGAAAATGAGCATTTGGAGGATAAAAATATCCAACCATCTATAACTTCTCAGATCCTCAAAGATAATAATACTGGAGAAGATAAAGAAATTAAGAAAATTGTCTTCTCAGAAAAAGAGGAAACAAAACCACAGGTGGCAGAAAGTGCTTGTCCTCCACAAGGAAGACTGAATAACTGTATTACAAATGGTATGTAAAATAAAGAATGTAAATGGAGAGGAAAAAAAGAGTAATATGCAAATTAACCATTACTTCACTACAACTACAAGCCACATCCACCAGCCATGCTCATCAACTAATCAGGAGTGAGTATGCAAATTAAACCCAACCAAGATGGCTACAGCCATGGAGTGAGCAAGAGGGAGGCTTGGGTTTCTCTGGCAATGGAGGAAGCCAAGCTTTCCACACACCCTTGTGGGTGCAGGCCTCCACTCAAGGCTACAAAGTTTCAATTGTAGAAGATAAATAAATCCAACATAAATGGTAGCAGCCACAGAGCTGGAGAGAGCAAGAAGTTAGGGTTGCCCACAGCAATGGAGGAAGCCAATCTTTCCACCTGCCCTAGCCGGCCTTGGCCTCCACTTAAGGCTATAAAGTTTCAATTATAGAAGATAAATAAATCTCAACAGAAATAGCTGCCACCATGGAATGAACAGGAGCCTTGGTTCCACTTCAGGTTACAAAGTTTCAATTGTAGAAGATAAATCCCAGATTTCAGGACCTCCATTTAGGTCACTGGGGGGTGTGGCCAGCCTGCAAGCCACCATAGGTTCCTTGTCCAGGCTGCCCCACACCCCAAGGAAACCCCCACCCTGATCCAGGGCACTCTTCAGGGCAAACCAGCTGGCCCCCACCCATGCACCAGGCCTCTATTCTATCTAATAAAAGAGTAATATGCAGATTGACCATCACTCCAACACATAAGATGGCTGCCCCCTGGTCAAAGATCCTGCCTCCATGTGGACACAAGATGGCCACCACAAGTTGGCCAGCAGGGGAGGGCAGTTGGGAGGGACCAGGCCTGCAAGGGAGGGCAATTGGGGGCAATCAAGCCTGCAGGGGAGGACAGTTAGTGGTGACCAGGCAGGCAGAGGAGGGAAGTTGGAAATGACCAGGCCTTCAGGGAGGGCAGTTAGGGGTGACCAAGCCTACAGGGGAAGGCAGTTAAGGGCAAAAAGGGTGGCAAGGGAGCAGTTAGGCCCGATCCTACCAGGATTGGGCTAAACAGGCAGTTGGACATCTCTTGAAGGGTCCCAGATTGGAAATGGTGCAGGCTGAGTAGAGGGACACCCCCCATGCACAAATTTTGTGCACCGGGCCTCTAGAATATATATAAAAGCCTAATATGCAAATTGTCCCCTTCGGAGTTCCACCAGAAAACCGGGAGTTTGATCACTTGCTATGACGCGCACTGACCACCAAGGGGAGGCATGGAAGGAAGGAAGGAAGGAAGGAAGGAAGGAAGGAAGGAAGGAAGGAAGGAAGGCAGGCCCTGGCCTGTAGTCAGAAGATCCCGATTGGCCTTGATGCCCGGCCAGACTGAGGGACCCTAGTATACAGATAAATAGACATCAGATTCTTGAACAATATGGGGATTGGAAGTGCCAATCCTCTGAGCAGTTGGAAATCCATATAAATTAAATTGACCCTCCACTTACACCAATCCCACCAACCAGGGATAGAAAATACAGCTGACTCTTGAACAACGTGGGTTTGAACTGCTCAGACCCATTTATACACATAGAAACATATTCAGATTGTTTCATGTTAACAAAAAGAAAAGCATTTCTGGGTGAAAAAGAGAACTTGGATGTTTGATTAAACGACCTTGGAAGTTCTTCTAATCCAGACATTCTAAATGTTTACATTGGTAATATGTGAACTGAAAGGGAAGAACTTGCCTTTTTTACAAGAGTAGTTGGTGAGAGATGTATGGTTGCTGTTAGGACACTGCTACTGGGTTTGTTTTTAGGAGACAGATAAGATATGGAGCACTCCAAAATATACTGTCAAGTGAAAAATGCAGGCAAATGCAGAATAATGTGCTACCATTTTGTAAGGAAAAATGTGTGTATGCATGTGCACTTGCATATGCATAGAACTCTCTGGAAGGACCCACAAGAAACCATGACTGGTGGCCTCTGCGTGACTGGAGGCCAGAGTGATGAGGGATGAATAGAGGCAAACCTCTTTTTAGTGCATATCCTTTTGTGCCCTTTGAATTTTGTGCCTTGTCATAAACTACCCTAAATAAAAGTTAGTTAACAAAATAAATGGAGAGGTGCTTTCAGCTGACCTTCATCTTTATTATCTCCCCTGCTTGACTGTTCTTTCTTTATCATATTTTAAAATCTAGTTCTCCTTCCTTGAGCATCTTCAGAGAACAGGAAAATCAATTTGCCCGTTTAGAATTCTAGCTGATAAATAACTTAGTCTGTTTATCTTCCAATCTTCCCTTTTCCCCTCCCAGCTATGAAGCAGTGTCAGGCAGCAAGGCATCAGAACCAAACTCTGTCCCATTTTCTGGAACTAACTAGCTGCGTGGCTTTGGGTTGGTCACTATACCTCTCTGAGCCTCAGTTTCTTCATTTATAAAATGAGAGATGGATTAGGCAAACCTGCTAGCGATTCTCAACCTGTGGGTCCTGACCTGTAGCTAGCTGCCGTAGAGCCCAAGACTATTGGAAAACACAGATGTTTACATTATGATTCATTAACAGTAGCAAAATTACAGTAATGAAGTAGCAACGAAAACAATTTTATGGTTGGGGGTCACCACAACACGAGGAACTATCTTAAAGGGTGGTGGCATTAAAAAGGTTGAGAACCACTGAATAAGAGCATTTAGGTCCTATCAGTCCTGGCAGTCTGGGACTCTGTTCCATAGAAGACAAGCGAGGCTGTCTCTGCCTTCTCTCCTGACCTCCCTGGAAGGCCAGGCCATACTCTCCTGGGCTCCAGCACTTTTTCCGACTGTACAGGACTGCATGTTTCTCCAAAACAAGTTGTGAAGGGGAGAATCATTTATCTTTTCCTCCTATCCCTCCTCCCTCTTTTTTAATTCCCAACCTCCAGAGACTGTATCTCTGGCTTGGTTAATTAAGAGGAGTCTTCGGGAAGATTTGAGTCCTCCTGTTGTGATCTGTTACTCCACGCTGTGTGCTCATTTCCATCTGCTATTCTAATGCCTGCATCTTCAGATGTTTGTTGCTTTTAGAACTTGATTGAATTTTAAAAGCCTGAATCCTTCATTGTTTGCAAAGTTAAATGCCTGTGCCTTGTTGACCTGGTTTCAATGAGGAGGAACTGATTTTGCTCGTTTACAATGAAATACATTGTACTGCCACTGGTCACCCAAAAATTGGTGCGTGCACATGTGTGTGTGTGTGTGTGTGTGTGTGTGTGTGTGTGTGTGTGTGTGTGTGTTTGTTTGTTAACTGCAGGTATCTAGGGTAAAACTTTAAATTCAAACATCTCCCTCTCACACTAGGCAATCAATCCCACATGATATAAGATACCACGTGTGAGCCAGACAGCAGGACAATTTGATTTAGGCCGATGGACCAACATTTTGCCAACAACCAACAGAGTGAGGGCTTTCACTTTTGAGCAAGGAAAGTGAATATATGTATAACATCTATCATTGGTAAGTAATCCTGCCTTTCCTCTAAAATCAGACTTTTTGTCCTACCCAGCACAGGACCAGGCACACAAAAATATTTCGCAGAATGAATGGATAAAGACATGAACGAGTGTATGAACAAATGAGTGAGTGAATGTTGGCCAGTCCAATGTCCGTGCAAATATTTTCTAGCTGGCTCATTATTCCTTGGGAGGGTAATCAAGAGCATCTTGGACAGATGCTGAAAACCTCTGAATCTCAGTTCCTCATCTATAAATCAAAGTTGATCATAAGCATCCCTGTCACATCAGGATGCTGTAAAGGTCACTGGAGATAATGTTATACTATCGACGTGAGACTGCTCAGTTTAGTACCAGGCACAGTGTAGTTTTCAATAAATATTTGCTAAATAAGTTCATAAATATATGGAGAAATGAATGAATAAATAAACAAGTGAGATTTTTCTCCCTGGGCCTCAGAGTGCATTTGGTCTCAAAACCTAACACTCCTAAAACAAGATAAATGCTGATATTCCTCAGCAACTTCTCCAGCTTAACACACAGACCACACCTGGAATCTACTCAGGCATGCCTCTGCCTCATAAGCTGAGCCCTGTCCTAACACCACAAGCAGTTAGTTCACTAGCAAACCAGGCCCCGAGGGGGGTGGGGCTCCCCAATCAGCCCATGCAGAAGAATACTTGTAGGGAAAAGGGGCAGAGCTGGAGTGAAGATTCCAGGGCACCGTCACATGCCCCATCCAATTACATCTCCATCTCGAAAGCGTGCGGGCTTCACTTTCATCCGGTCTCCCAGGCTTCTAAGCTACTATAGTCATGTTTTATCTATCTGCTCACTCGGCATTTTCTCACAGTCTGAAATATATTTGTTGGTTGGATAATATATCTTCCTGATCACATGATAAATTTTCCAAGAACAGAACTGTATATCCTAGATAATGCTCAGCACAGTATTGGTTGGCTAATAGTTCCAGGAAACTAGACGAGATCAGGTCCAATCCCCATTTTACAGGCAAAGGGACAGGGTCTCCAAGAGGGGAGATGGCATGCTCACCGCAGGCAGGGAGCTGCGGAGCATTGATAGAGGTGCAAGGCCACACTCACATCTCCTTCTCCTGGTGGAGTTTGCAGGCTTCTTGCTGGAGGTTTTCCAGCTGCTGCTGGGCTTCCTGCAGCTCCCGGGAGGTGCGCTCCAGCTCCTGGGCCAGCTCCTGGTTGGTGAGTTTCAGCTTGGTGTTCTCCGCTTTGGTTTCATGCTTGTCGTTATGCAGGGCTGTGCACTGGCCCTCCAACTGGAAAGGACCGGGGTCGGGGGGGGTCGGGGGGACACACAGCACCATTGTCAGGCTGGCCTGCCCTGGCCTCATCTAGCTTTTTCCACTTGGTGGGCAGGGACCATCGCTGTACCCCTCAACTGCCCTCAAACTTTGTCCTGTTCCTTCATTCACACATATGCACTGCAGGAAGCAGGAAGAGCTTCCAGAACAATCTCAGCTCTCCCTTGCCTCCAAGGGGGTACGAGAAAAGGAAATTCCACATCCATCTTTGACTCTTATCTCTATGATAATTATCATCATCTCATCAATGGATAAGATCTAAAGTAAATCCTTCCTATTGTCCTTTAAGCCAGTTTCTTCTCCTTGGCCATCAAAGGAATGGAGAACACTATGTAAGGGACATCCTCATAAAACATCCCTCCCAATTTTGTTCCTTCCCTCAGCTGTGTAAGTCCAATTCCTTTAATCTACAGAAGCTTTGATGGTAGCCAGCAACACTGAAAATTTCCAAGAAATAGCTAAAACAGGTCAAACCAAACATGTTCCTAAAACAACTAAAAACTGGCTTTTGAGTGACTTAAGCTTTTCTTGGCTAGTGCTCATGGCTTGCAGAGCTTCCAACCCTCTCACTAGAGGAAGCATCAAACCAAGGCAAACTGATTATAAAAAATTTAGTTTAATGAATGTAGCCAGTAAGGGGAGGAGGAAGAAACGATGAGGAACTTTGTGTGATTCTCAGGAGGCTCCTTGTAATCAGGTAAGCATGCAGTAAATAAGTAGAGTGGCAGTCATTCAAGTGAGGGATAACTCTAATTGGTAAGGACTTAGTGCATAATAGTGAGGAGGAGAAAAAGTAGGAGGAGCAAGTCAAGCTAAGGCTGTGGAAGGGGGATGGGAAGGCAGCTGCCAGTTCCTGGAGTTGAAACCATCTTGCTGCAGAGGAAAGAAACCCAAATCCATAGATTGGGTAGCAGCAGGAGTGAAGCAGTCTGCAGCCTTAGCATGGGGTGTCTTCAAACACATTTTCATGTGTTGCTAAAAATAGCTTTCTCTATTTAAACTGCAGCAATATGTCTTGGTCTGTCCAGGGCTGGATTCCTTCCAACACAAGACAAAACAGGAGGATAAGTGGCGCTCTGGTCTCTCCCCTCCACGAGCCCTGGCTTTGAAGAGAAGGTGGTGAGCCTGGGGCTTGCCGAGGTAATCTGTCTTTCTGGGGTCATTAGCCAGGCGTTCCCAGCCATAGTGGATGGATACAATGCACCACCCAGCCTGCCTGCTGGGAGCTCAGGTGCATCAGAGGAGCGTCTGAGTCTGCATCCATCTTCAGGATGATGAGACAGTCATAAAGGAGGTGATGAACCATGTCCAAAGGGAGACAGGGATGGAAAATCTGACCTTTGAAGAGCCTCTTCCTGCTGGAGGCTCCATGGCCATCCTGGCGGACAGACAGTACTGTCTGCAGCCTCCCCCCAAGTACCAGGGATTGTGCCCCTTGTATCTCAGCTCTCCCCTCCTCTCTTACACAGCATGCAGGGAACAAATTAACATTTTGGCTCTTGGGCACAATTATACAGCAATGTCTGCAGATACCTCAAGGGAGAATTCTTAGCAACTTCTCAAGTTAAATACCTGGCATTGGAGAAGCAAAGGCTTTATCTTGGGATCATCTCTGCTTTCAAATGCTCTCTTGTACAACTAAATGGTTCTTTCAGTTTGAAAAAGAGAGAAGTCCTTAAGTGAATGTCAGGAAAAGTGGGCCAGAGCCAGAAAAGAGGATGCAGTGAGGGCTGGGCTTCTGAGGACACAGCATACCCGCTTCTGCTTCTGGGCAAGCTGCTCCAGCTCCTGCTCCTTAGACAGCAGCTTCTCCTCCAGCTCCTGACTGCGGGCCTGAAAGCGCTCTGTGTCCTGCCAGAGAGAGGGACATGGGAGGCATAAATGCACCTGGGATGAAGACTGTTTCCCACCTTGCACCTGCTCATCAGCAGGGCCTGCCCATCCCGGTGGACTTTGGGGCCTCCCCACAGCATTCCAGGGCCTTGGGGATCTGCCAGCTGGTTGGTGTGGCCCAGTGAGATACAGAGTGCAAGTGCTAGGTGTGGCTTGACTGTCGACAATGTACCCCTCTCCCCCTGTAAAAGCAGTGTGAGTAGGTTGGGGAGTACTGAGCAGGGAGAAGAGAATAGGACCCGACCTCAAATCTCAGGCTGTCTCCTCATCTGTAAATTGTAGATTATCCTTCCATGTGGATATTCTGTTCATGTTGGGCCTATCATTTCATCCTTTAAATGACCCTCACTCTGGAAACACAAGGCATCATTTCTTTTGGGTCCAGGTCCTCACTGTTTTCTGACCATGACTGAGATTTTGCTTTCCTCCTGATGTACCTTCTCTCCCATCCTAGGACTGAGCTTCCCCACTCAGGGATGCAGAGGCCCTGATGATGCAGGAGCAAAAAGACCTGGTTATGGGATAAAGAGGAAAGTGTGTAGGTTGTCAGGATGCCTCAACAGAACCTGGAATGGTGAAAAGGCCCTGAACTGGATGTCCGGAGACTTGGGTTCCATGCCTGGCCTGGCCCAGCTAACTTGCTCATTCTTCTAGACCAGTGTTTCCCGAAGTGTGGTATGCATATCCCCAGGGATATGGGAAGAATTTGGTGGGGGTACACAGTGCACTGGAGTTTGGTGGGGATATGCACTGCACTGTGCATAGCTGTGCCTAATTCTATGTTCTCATGAGTATGAGGGGTACTCAGCGTTATGAAAATTATAGAAGGGGTACACATATGTCAAAAGTTTGGGAAACACTGTTCTAGACCATGGAGTCTTTGTTAATAGAATAGAAACAAAAATATCCATGCTACTTGTAGCTTTCCACTTGCCTGAAGGCAGAGCAGAGGTGCAAACCATGTAGGAAGGAAAGAAGCCACCTTTACCTCAAATAACTCATTGGGGGAGCCCCGGTTGTCTGTCCCATGGAACAATGTCTTCCCGAGGAGGACAGCCATGGAGGCTGCACTGGAGGGCCTGTCCTGCTGGCAGGTTGTATGTGATGGTGCAACAGTCAGGAAACATGGCTGCTCTCAGGCAGAGGCTTTTGGACACTTCTGTTGAACAGCTCAGAGTATTTCCTGGGCTCATTTTTCGTAAATGCTACCTGATTCCTCTGCCCATTTTTCAGGCAGGTGACTGCAGTTCAGGGCCAGCCTGACTGTCCTCATCTCAACCACATGTAATGACAAAAGCAAATTTGATGAGACAGTTCCTGCTCCCAATTTCTGTTACAGGAAACCTGCTTCATTTGGCTTGTCTGCTGCTCATGGGGCAGGTACCCGGTGGGCAGTGCTGGGAAGGGAGCAGCTACAGATCTCCATGGCGATGTTGCCATCTCCACCATGGGCCTGCAAGTATGTTACTGCCCAGCCAGCACAGAGCTTTGAGAGTCTAGTGCCTGAAGCTGGGTGTGCAAGTGACTAATATTTCACTCATCGTCAACAAGCTGCTAACCATAGAGCCAAAATCCAAACCCCAAAAGATCCTGGTTTTCCATGCTGTCATCAACTGTAACACCACTACGCTCACACTGTGGCCCAGCAAAAGCCTGCATATTCAAGGCTTAGTAGCATGCCATAACACTTTCTAATAGTTTCCATGCTTAACATAAACCTAAGCACTGAGTCTGAAAGGTGTTTGCTATTGAGAAGGGAGAAGCAGGGGACAGAAGGGGGCAGGTGGGTGAAGCAGCAGCGTGGTCAGGTCACCTTTGTGACACTAATTTGTCCTTAAATGTTTTCCTCTGACCTTTTCCTACTCCCAATCCCCATGCATTGGCCCACTTTTGCTTCTGGAAGCATCCCCTTTCTTCATCCAGGACTTTGACCTGTTGTCATGACCCAAGCAGAGGGGCAAATGCCCCAGAGCTCAGCCCCTCTGTGCAGTGGGCCATTTTGGGTAAAGGAAGTGGATTTCCTACTGTAGGGTGGGAGAAGGCTGCTGTTTCAGAGTCTGGTAGGACTGTTTCAGGGCCTGGTAGGTGAGGAGTGTGTGAGTTCTGTCGGTCATACAACTCACTCCCTATGCTAAAGGCTGGGGGATGGGCAACAGAGTGTTTTAAAGCTCTAAAAAGGAACAGGGAGGAAGTCTGGGGATACTGACAAGTCTACATAAGGCTCTAGTTAAAGAACATGACTGGCTTTTTCTGGAAGACATCCAGACTCCTTCTCCATTTCAATGACATCTGTGATAATAAATGAAGATGTGGTATGGATGATCAAAGCTGCATACAACTAAAAAATGGTTCAAACCAGCCACATTAGCAGGGGGGGAAAAGACTTTGTGACAACAGCCCAAGTGCTGAGTGGCCAGAGATGATGTGGTCTCAGTATTGTGTCCCCCAAAATTTATATTCTGTCACCTAACCCCCACCGTGATGGTATTAAAAGGTGGGGCTTTTGGGAGGTGATTAGTGCCCTTATAAAACAGACCCTGGAGAGCTTGCTTGCCCTTATGCCATGTGAGGAGACAAAGAGTAGTTGCCACTCAAAATAGGGCTCTCACCAGAATCTGACGATCCTGATCTTGGACTTCTAGCCTTCAGAATGGTGAGAAGTAAATATTTGTTGTTTGTAAGCCAACCATTTTATGGTATTTTTGTAATAGCAGCCCCAACTGACTAAGACAGGAGGCCACTGTTCAAGATCAAAACTTATCTGTTGAGAACCACTAAGTAGATAACCCAAAAATGGAAAACAGAGTTTCCTATAGATTTTTTTTATGAATATGGATATCCTTAGCTTAGCCTGGAAAAGGTGATGATTTTACCAGTTCCGACCTCCCAAGACAAATAGCAGGGCTAGGTAGGAGGCTAAGTGCAGAGTAGGAATAGGAAATGTGAGTTTTAAATGTTTTCCCGTGGTATCTGAGAAAGGTGGGATTTTGTTTGTCTTGGATATTAAATTTTCTAGGTGTCTAAAGGGAAAGGGAGGATGTACAAGCTCCAAGGATGGTCCCCTTAGGAAGTGGAGTGAACTGGTTCATTTGCATGGGCCTACCATATGGGTCTAGAACAAGTCTTCAGGCTGCTTAAACTGGTAAAGCATGCACCTTCATCCTTTCATTCATTTATTCATTCACTTGTTCATTTACTCATTGATCCAACAAACAATTGTTGAGTACCTACTATGTTCCAGGCATGGTCAAGGTGCTAAGGATAAGTTAGGTAGTAAAGTTAAAGATCCCTGCTCTTGTAGAGCTTACATGTTAGTGGGAGCATACAGATGACCATTAATAAAAATAAACAAGTACATTATATGTTATATTTGAAGGTGACAAATGTCTTGAAATAATTATAAATCAAGATGAGAAAAAGGGAATTGGTAGTGCCATTGGTGAGGCATTGCAATCTTAACTTGGCAGAGGTAGTCAGAGTAGGTGAGATCAACCTGGCCCGCAGAGCCAAGCCCCGGAGGTGACTTTTACCTTCAAGAGAAACTGCTCCTTCTCACTTTTGATTTGCTGCTCCATCTCCTCATAGAGATGCTGGATTTCTTCATCATAAGCAGCAATTTTCCTGCAGAGAGGGCAAAAGGAGAGTCTGATGAGACCTACACTGAAATTCTTTTATTCCACAGATGCAAGTCCTAGAGCTTGGGCACCAGAACCCCACTGGAGCTGTGGGTGATGGGGGTTAGGTCACTCTGAGCTGCAGGATCAGGTCCTCAGGATCCGCTGACTACAGAGGCCACCAGGACCCTCTCCTCTTCCTCCTTCAGACCATCACACCTGGCCATGCGCATGCTCCTCAGCGAAGCTGCCCTGGCTCTCTCAGCTTTATTTAACACCAAGGCCCTGACCTCTGTTACACTCACCCTGCCTCCTGCCCGCTGACACCCCTCCCCCCGTTTGTAGACTGCATAAAGTTGTGTGGGCTTCTTTTCTGTTCAGCTTCTTGGTCTATGCCATTCCCACGTTGGACGCATTCTCTCTACCTGGCTACATCAGCACCACATGAGCCACACTATCAGAGGACCCTCCTAGAATTGTGTGCTGAAGTTTGTGGGATATATATTTCTCATAAGAGCTCAAAAGATTGCATGATAATGACAACCACCACCACTACACCCCCTGCAAAGGAAGGGGCCGCACCTGCCCAGGTGCTCATGCCCTCTGGGCTCAGGGCCACAGGCAGACGGTATGTGAGGCTGGTTAAAGGCTGGAGTTATAAAGAGATGTCTTCATCCCCACTCTCATCATCCTCCCCCAACTCAGAAGAGCCCCACAGGACAGGAAGGAAGCTCATGGCTCCTACACAGATGAAAACAAAAGAGTCTGTGAGGACAAGGCTTGTAAGTCACCCTGGGGTTGTTCCTCCTTTTTGCCCCCAAATTCAAGCAGGAAGGATCAGAAAGTAGCATTTGTAACAGGAAATTATCACACTGCACATTAACATTCCCAGGATATTGTGTTTCTATATTTTTTCTCTGTCCTGCAGTGTCAGGCCCCCTCTCTGTCCCTGCTCTCTGCCCTCTTTCTCTCTTATTAAAGGAACTGCAGGCTCCAGTGAACAGGCCAAGGTCACAGCTCTCAAGGTCTGTTTTGAGCATGTAATACACACATCCTGCAAATTTTGGCACTTGTCATCCTAAACTCAAATGATAGCAAGCCCCCCTCTACCCTTAATTCAAGTAAGAAAACTTTAATAATTGAGGAAACAGTCCTAGTCTCAGTTCTAAAAGGTACTGGGGAGATTTCTGAAGAAAACATCAAGGATGGAAATATATTTATTCCCCTGAGCCTTCCATCATTTTAAGCCCTACCTCCCTATGTCCACTTGGGACTCTAACTCAGTGTCAGCTGTCCCTGCTGCCTAAGATTGCACCACAGCCCCCTCACTGCCCTTCCTTTCTTGCTACATGTCACTTGCCCAGACTGAGCAGTGACTAAGGGGCCATTTTGATTGGCATCCTTTTAATTTTACAGAAACCACAAAAGAGACATAGAAAAAGGAACTGGTGTGAATCTCCATGGTCAAGGTCACTCATTAGAGCACCAGCCTCTGAGTTCCCTTTCTTAGCTGTACTAGTATATCCAAGACCAGAAACACGACTTTAAGTGATAGAGCAATGATCCCAAGATGTGCTCAGTAAAAGGTGACAGTTCTCCAAGACTTCCATGAGCTGCAGCCCTGTGTTTATCATTGTGTTTGACATCCTGGGTGCAACAAATAGCTTTTCAGCTAAGAGTAAGAAATCTGTTCTTGGCAAATGACAGGTGTTTTGGATGGTTACTTTTGTTCTTAGTTAACCCATGACAATACAAGAAAATCTTACAGAGAAATAAGGAACAACAACACCTGCTGTTAAATGGGAACATCTCAGGGACAGAAATGAATACAGTTCCAAAGAACTTTCAGAAAGAAAAATGGTCTTTTCTCTTGGTCCCAGGAATTATCTTCCTATACGTGAAGAAATTCAGATGCTAGATGGCAAATGGTGTCAAGGAAAACTTTAGATAGCAATTTCAACTATATAAATACTGGAGAACTAATAAAGTGAGATGAGAGGAATTAAAAAATTAATTTGGCTCTGTTAAAGTAATACTTATTACAATCATCCATAAACTGTTTACCATTTATGCCTAAAAACTATGCAGGGCATTAATTCTGCACTATCATTAAATGTGTTACATTAACTTTGCTCTGAGTTTTATTTGATTAAATTAATAAACTCTATGCTTGTCAGTTTGCTAGTCATGAAGTAATTCTGCAAGCTGCTAAAAAAAAACCAATAATAATTGGAGGAAAGGCAGATGTCACCTCTGAAAGGTGTGTACTCCCGGCCTTCACTCACACAGGCTGAGTCCACTACAAAGAAGCATTGGGAGTCCAGGTGGGGATCAGTGATCCTGGGCCCAACCAGACTCAGACATGGAACCAGGCCTTTGGAAATGTGTTGGCTTGGCTGGCCTCCTCGGAGACCGCCCAGGCCTGAATGACTTTTGAGGATGTGCCCTGACTCATGACCAGCCTGGATCAGACACACGAGAAGCCAGTTCAGGAGTCAGAGCCCTAGGGGCCCATCCAAAAGCCAGCTCATTTCCTCCATGTGACATTGGACAAGTGACCTTATATCCGAGGATAGCACCTGCCCTGCATTTTTCCCCAGTACTGTCATGATGAATGTCAAACAAGAGAGCAGGTGTGGAAAGCATTTGGAACTACAAAGCCCTAAGTAAATGTAGGGATTATTTATTATGATAATCATTATCAGGAACTATGAAAAGCAAGGACCAGAATTCCTCCAAGGGGAGGAGGGCCTTAGTTTCAAGTAAAAGGGTTGCTGGGATTGTAAGGATCAGAGGCAATCGAAGATGAAGAATACAAAGCTCAGTCAATAAAAACTGCTGTCAGACCAATCCATTAGAGACCAGGTTGTGTGAAAGTAGGAGCTGCAGAGCCAAGAAGCTCTGCAGGGACCTGTGAGAGCAATAATAGAGAGACACTAAAAAGATCTATGTGCACAGTGTGTGTTGTTTCAGATGGGCACACCTTGTTCTTCCATCCAAAGGAAAAAGGCAACCAAATCTGTTTGCTTCTTATATACATTTTTGTTCCCATGATTTCTAAAACCACTCGTTGCTTGATGCACACAGACATAGACTTTGAAATCTGCTCCATGAGCCAATAGATTTCCCTATATATTCCAACCCTCACTGACCCCCTTTTCTGAACTCTTAGGACACCATACGTCTTTATTTGACATTTAATTTTTAAGTTCTGAAGAACTGTTTCATATGGGTTAATGCTGTTTTAATTAGGTTATAAACAATCAGACATTTATATCACCCACAGGCCCTGTGCTCAAAATGTTAATGTTTAAGACTTTGGGTACCAAACTCAGAAGTCTGCGTACCATCTTGGGGGAACACTAGATTCCAGGGAATTGAAGAATTTCAGGGTTGGGAGGTTTGTCTGATCCAACCACCTATTTTTCCAGTATTAAAATTGTTACCACAATATCCTCACCAAGTATTTAACCAAACTATATTAGAACAGCTCCAGTGATGGGGGATTTGCTGGATCTGTAAGCAACTCTTTCATCTTGGGAATATTCTGGCCCATAGAAATGTGTTTTCCTATGATTGTAAACATCCTCTCCATAAAACCTTTCATATATTTGAAACAACATTAAGACTTCAAAGAATAGCCCCGAGTTCAGGCCATGCCTCTCCACTTCCCTGAATCATGTCTCACATGTATTTTTTTGGTAAGCCTGCTCACCAGTCTCTTTATGCCTTGCAAAATGGGCTCTAATTTAGCTCTCTCAAATCACAGAGCCCCAAACTGAGAATTCTGTATATGAAGATTATTCAGTGCAGATCAGAGCTGGGCTATTGCCTCTCTTCTTTTTTTTTTTTAAAATATATTTTATTGAGTTTTTACAGAGAGGAAGAGAAAGGGATAGAGAGTTAGAAACATTGATGAGAGAGATATATATATATTGATCAGCCGCCTCCTGCACACCCCCCACCGGGGATGCGCCAAGGTACATACCCCTGACTGGAATCGAACCCAGGTCCTTTAAGTCTGCAGGCCGACGCTCCATCCACTGAGCCAAACCGGTTTCGGCCTCTCTTGTTCTTAATACTACATATCTATTCATGATTTTTCTTGGCATGACCTATTTGTCAACTAAAAACTCTAAACTTTGTGTGATAGTTTTGTTTTAAAGGTGGTGTTATTCAATCATACCTCTCCCACTTTGTACTTCTGCCATTGACTTTCTCTTTTCGGGCAAAATCTTAAATATAATTCTGTTAGATTTCATGTTTGTTAGATTCAATCCATCTTTCCAGCCTGTCACTGTCTTAATGATTTACCACATGGTTGTTCAGTGTACTCAATGACCTTCTAAGTTTTGCTATATTTTAAATTTTAATCCTAATGTAACCTAAATAATCTATAATATTGTTTTTGATTACTTCCTTTATCTAGAGTTATTTAGAAGACTGTTTAAAATATATAAACTGCCCACTAGTGTGGCTCAGTGGTTGAGAATTGACCTATAAACCAGGAGGTCACAGTTCAATTCCCGGTCAGGACACATGCCCAGGTTGCAGGCTCAATATCCAGTGTGGAGTGAGCAGGAAGCAGCTGACCAATAACTCTGTCTCATCATTGATGTTTCTCTTACTCTTCCCTCCCTGCCCCCGCTTCCTCTATGAAATTTAAAAAAAAAAAAAAATGGACCAGTACACAAAATTCATGCATGGGGGAGTGTCCCTCAGCCCAGCCTGTACCCTTTCCAATCAGGGACTACTGGCTTCTAACTGCCTGCCTGCCTGCCTAGTTGCTCCCAATTGCCCCCCTGTGCCAGCCTGGTTACCCCTTACTGTCCCCCCTGCCAACCTGGTCACCCCTAATTGCCCCTACCTGCTGGCCTGGTAGCCCCTAACTTCCTCCCCCTGCCATCCTAGTCACCCCCAACTGTCCCCCCTCCCCACCCCCACTGGCCTGGATGCCCCTCATGGCCCCCTTACCAGTCTGGTTACTCCCAAATGTCCCCTGCCAGC